ACACATAAAATATCAGACTCTCTCACACACGTCCTAGCATAGATATATACGTCTACTGATACTCGCGCATGCACACACACACACACGCACACACACACACACACACACACACACACACACACACACACACACACACACACACACACACACACACATACTCACACGCACATGTATATATTATTATACTAATAAAGCTAACTAACTCCAAATTTCTGAAGGATTGCGACTCGGAAACCGATTAATATTTAAAATTTCACCCCCCAAAAAAGTGTAACCTGGACTGTCCCTACTCGTGTACCTTACAGTAACAAGCATTTATTTTGGTAGACTCTGTGCCTTATTCACCAACTCTCTTTAACTGTAGAACTCGGGTCCATAATCCTTTTGCCCGCAATGACGTGCTGTGCTATCTATATACTGAAAACAGATAAGTTAGATTCGATTCAAGACTAATCTGGGTTTTTTTCTTGATTTTTGTTTGTTGTTGTTTTTGTTGTTGTTGTTGTTGTTTTGTTTTTTTTTTGGGGGGGGGGGTGTTGACAAACCGGAAACAAAAGTAAAGAAAAATAGTTGACTTGGGGAAGAGTTATGGAATTTGGTTGGGGGTTTTTGTGTTTTTTTTTGGGGGGGGGTTTGGCTTAATGGTGACCGGGGATTGTCAACAAATAGCAGTGAATGTGCATACCAAGTGAAAAACCAGATGTCTATTCAGAATAACGAGGCTTCTTTATATCTCTTTCTGGGGGTTCCAGCCTTTGCGATTTTTTTCCTTAATGTTGAAAAAAGGTGACTGAAGCACTGACAGAAAAAAATAAGATTGATACTGGGAGATTGATTGAGAAAAATGGATCAGAAAGACGTTTTGCGAGAAAGGGAAATCATCTTATAAAAATATTGTAATAAAGATGAAAATATTCTTATACTGTGTGCAGTATCTTCTAGGCCTATTGGATGGTTGTTCCATTGGTAGTAAGGAGATTTTGCTCCTATATTATAATGCATCTATATTTGTGTGTATGTGTTTGCGTTAGTGTGTCAGTGTTTTATAGCTAGCTAAACTCTCTCTCTCTCTTTCTTTCTCTCTCTCTCTCTCTCTCTCTCTCTCTCTCTCTCTCTCTCTCTGTGTGTGTGCGCGCGCGTGTGTGTGTGTGTGTGCGTGTGGGTTAATGATGTGTGCATCTGGTTGTCCTTGTATTTGAGTTAATGAGAGTCAGTATATTGGAGCAAGCTTGTGTTTGGGTTTGAATGTATGTTTGAAGCTGAGTAAGAAATGAGTTCGATTCCCGAGTAGAGAAGTTTAGATCTTCTGCTGGGATGTCTTATCCCTCCTAGCCCCAGTCAGGCTTCCTACCAGCCACCCGCCTCCTGTATACAAATGTGAGGCAGCGTGGTGGAATCAGGCTCTCGTCAAAATAACCAAGTGAAGAAACTGGCATTTTTGCGCAGCCTTGTGAATTTTTATCAAATTTTTGTTTTTTGGCTCAACATCTTTCATGCCCATTCAAGAACTAATTTTTGTTCTGAAAAACGTTGATTAAAGGCATAAAAAATATAAATTTTCAGTTACCACAGGCTCTTAAACTAAGGAAATAACTAATCTTTGGCGGCCATTTTCTCATTAATTTTACCTATGAAAACAGGTGACCCCCACCTCCTTCCATTGCAATTATCTCGACTTGTATTCAAGATAAATGAATACTTTTTTCATCCAAATAAGGACAGGTGAATAAGCTTTAAGATGATACCAATAACTCTACATGCCCAAAAATTGACGAGAGCCTGATTCCACTTCGCTGCGTCACCTATTTTTTCTGTTTAGCTTAAGGAACATTCTACTCTCTAGATGCACTCACCTGGTCCTTGTCTGACATTGACGGAGCATTGATTACATTATAGCCCTGAGAGAATGAGTTGGAAAATAAA